ATGCATGTTTCATAAGATTTTAAAGTTGCGTACCCACTTTTTGTCAACACCGTCAGACATTCAATAAAATGTAATACAATCAGGGAATATCAGTGGCAGCTGTCACTCTAAAGGACCCCCTCGCCACAGTTCACCTCTGCAGAGTACAGCAGTGTCAGACAGGCTCTGCTAAGTTTTAGTTTTAGAATATTTTAAATCCTAATGTTAATATTTCCTGTGTCACAGCCATGATATGTCAACACCATCTTCCAATTTCTGAGGAAATTATTTGAAATATTTAGATAATTTTATTCTCCTGAAGCAGGTGAATGACTGATATATATATATATATATATAATATAAATAAAGAATATAGAATAAAAATAAAGGAGGAACATATATATGTATATATATATATATTTGCATGTGCATGGCAATAAAATTGTTAAGCAGTCAACAATAGTTTAATCAATAGTCAAAAACTATCATGAAAGAAACACATATGTACCATAGACTGCGTAAAATCTTAATTTTCACTGCAAGAGGGGTTTAAAAAAAACATAAAGTTTCGTCTTGTCAGACCACAAATTTACATTTGGCAACCCTTCCTGGTTGAGTGGCATAACATCTAAACGAACATGCAGTTGCTTTCCTCCAAAGACAGTCAAGCATGCTTTATTATGTAAGCTAAATGTTCACTATAGTGTTTTTTTGTTTTTTTTTGTAAAACTCATCAGCTTTTCCAAACTCAATTGAAAAGCAAATCAAACTTATGTCCAAGGTTTTATGTGGCCTGTAACGACAATGCCTTTGTTCGTTGACCCCTCCTCTTTCCATCCTCTCATTATACCTCCAGCTGCACATATTTCTCATCTGCTGTTAGCCTCTTTTTGTTCCTTGATGCCCTCAATGTTAGACCAGGAGGCTCAACTCACGTCCCCAGGAGGCTATAACGCTGTGGTTGCCATGGCTACATGGTGACACCGGGGCGTGGTAATCAAATATAGGCGACTGCTCTGGATTTCAGTTGGCAAATGTGTGCTTTTTTTCCCTTCATTTGCCTGGACCGTGTCAGACCTCACGCCCACCCCAACCCCCAACTCAACCTTGTGTTCTCAGATTTTGTCTGTCACGCTCCTTCTCGTTTAGTAACCTTCGCCTCCTTTCTGAAAGATTTAAGTCCGTAGAGCAGCCGGCGGGCATTTAGGGCCCCTCTATCCATTGACAATGATGCTAATGTCCAGCAGTGCCTTGATGAGGAGAGCTCGCCTCCCAGTACCATAGCCTGTGTCATTCTGGTCACAATAGCCTCCATTGTGTTGGTCACTCCTGTGTGAATAAACAGGGTGTGTTTAATTGAGACTTTAGGGTGTGACAATGACACAGGACGAAGTCCAGACAGCACGCTGTGAAGATTGTGTGGCGGCTTGTATGTATGAATGCCTCAATGCCACTACCATGTAAAGCTCTAAGAAACATTAACACTGCTGATATCTTATATTCAGGTGTGGTGCCTGTTTCAGGAATATATGAACATATCTTTCCAAAATTTACAGCTCTCTTTTTGAACACTTAGGGTTTATTTGTGTTTTTTCACTTTCATTACAAAAGTGATGCAGACTACAAGTTAAGATATGAGAAGATAAGATCTGGCTCTTGCCTATATGCAGTTGCTGTCCCACAAAAGCTGAAGAAATTAGAAATGCTGCAAAACAGTCATTTAAACTCATACACTGTGCAATGTTAAACCTTGCAAATAAAATAAGAAAAAAAATATATATGGATGAAATATATTTATTTTGTTTTATTTTATACATTTATATATTATTATTTTATTTATAAAGACATCCAAACCTGGTTGAACCTTGCAGCCAAAATGCACATTTTATTGTCATTTTGAATAATAAAAAAACAAAAAAAACAAATAGGGATTAAATAAAAATTGGGCCTGCAATGAGATTATTCACTTTTTTTGGTAAAGAATTCTGTTGCTTCTGTATCTGCATTGCAAGTGAATGATGCAATTAATCAGAATTCTCCTTAAATAAATCTGTCCACACTACAAGAGAGAGATTCAGTTGTAATATGCGTCTACACTGAGAGAATTTGGAGCAATGATAAATGACAAATACAAAATATATGCTCCTGTTATTATCAACTAGCATACATTACCAAAAAATAGTAGTACGTTTTTTATATATATATATATATATATATATATATTTATACTTTTATTCAGAGTGGATGCATTCAGCTGATCATAGCTAGTTATAATGGTAATTAAACAAAGTTTTGCTCACTCCGTGTATTTTTGATTTTACAGTTGAGTAATTTTGTTGCAGTAGCACGAGATAGCTTATATATCGGTCGATCTCTATCCAAAATACTGCCAAACAGGCACTTTTGCATTTCATTTCGAAACTAAATCATCCGCCATCATCTTGTCTGTCTCACCCCACTCAGCACCATCTATCACGGCAAGCCTATCGGGTAGGGTTAGGGTAGGTGTAGGGAGGGCTTTGTCCCAATAAGGTGGCATCCATTTAATAATTTGAATTATAATTAGGGCTGCACGATAAATATCGCACGATATTTAATGCGATTTTAAACCATTCTAGCGAAAGAAAAGGCGAAATGGAACTTGATTCGTTACTCCCGCGCTGTTTTCTATCACAGCCGCACAAACATGAAGCTCGCACACGCAGAGAGGCGCGTTTGACTGCGCGCGAACACCGAACTGAACCGTCTTTCCTATCTCATTCACTCCTTGCCTTTGAACAGACGCATATACATAAAATTATGACAAAATACCGATCTCGACAATCATTGTGGCAAATCTGTTGTGTCTTAAGTGAACGAGAACTGCTGAGAAAGAAATCGGATGTGTATTAGTCTATATTGGATCCGTGCATCAGGTCTTAAAGGGGCAGCAGCCTAATAATACCTGCTGCTGTCATTATGCTCATCAAACCACAAAACACATTTTTGACAAAGATGAATCTATTTTTTAATTTATACAGTGAACACTATGCAGTTTTATTTTACACTTTATTATTACATTTCTGTATCTGAATACTACCGACCTTATTTGTTACATTGTTCTGTTGTATTTATCTATGCTTGTAATTTGTGTAGCCTGGGGATGGGCGATATGGGCTTTAAAATATATCACGATATTTCTGGTATTTATTATGATAACGATATCAATGACAATAATTCAGGGAATCCTGTTTCTTTAGAGAAAAGTATTATCTATCCTATTTTTACCCAAAATAGGGTGTTGTGAGCATTAATGAGTACACACGTAATGTAAAGACTGTTTAATTCATACTGGAAGCCGGAGGGCGCTCTTGCACAGAAACTCCACATATCCATAGCAGAAGTAATACTACTGACGACGCTTCAGGAAGGTATCTAGTTATCGCTGAATAAAACGCACAACGGAGAAAGAGACATTTTCTACTGATGAAACTTGAGGAAAATAAACATACGATTTCACAAAATATAAGGTTTATCTGTGTTCTTCAATCTTGGGTATTTTTATAAGGAAAGTATATTTATAATGCAATGTTAATTGACATGGCCTTTATCACTGTATATAATACTATCATTCTGTATTATGAAACCACGTTTGGTCACAAAAGGAAGTATTTCAAACACGCGACTATGTTATTAAGTTAATTTGGAGAAAAAGCATGTATATAAATTATATCTTTGTTGGACAACAGGTTTGTAAACAGGCTCATACACATGCAAAACTGTATCCCACACGTGCTACTGTAGGACATTTATTCAGACCGATTTTTTGTGCACTGTACAGCCCTAACCAAAGCAGTTACATATTGTAAAAGGATCTGGAGCTCCTCATTTAGCGATAAACTCCTCAATTTCACGTTCGCCTTCCGCGATGTCGCTCCGCACTGTTGCACACAGAAATATGTCAACAACTAAACTTTATCATTATTATCGTGGGAAGACTAATTCTTATCGTGGGGAGAATTTTTACCGGTATATCGCAAACGATAAGATATCGCCCATCCCTAGTGTAGCCTATTTGTTATTTTTACTGGCTGTTCACTTGTCTCTTTAATAATGTTTGAACGAGTTTTTGCTGTGGTATCGTACTTATGGAAAGCAAAATTACATAGATTTTTTTTTCTTGCTGATCCAAAAAACGATCTGATCCGTGGCTCAAAAACCGTAATATGATCCGAACTGTGAGATTTGTGATCCGTTGAACCACTACAGTAAAGACATTTATAAAGTTACCAAAAAAATCAGTTTCATATAATATACAATAAATGCAGCCTTGGTGAGCATAAGGGACTTTTCTTTTTGAAACATTATAAACATTATACTTGCATAAAGTGCAGAAGGGGTGTAAAAATACATTTAATTGGCATAGCGTTCATTCAAAGATTAGGTCAGAAAGTTCAAGTCAAGTCAAGAGTTCAAACTATGTGTTCCATTTAGCAACAAAATTTTGTCATAAAAGCACCAAAATGTTGAAAGCCTGAATGAAAAATAAATGAATGCCAAATGGACTTGTTTCTAAACCGCTGCATTCAATTAGAGATGAATTAGAGGCTTTGCAGACAAATTATTGTGAATGTTCTTGGAATATTTAAAGGGGTGGTTGACAGCTTTTTTTCTTGGCTTGATTGTGTTTATGGGGTGCAGTGTAAAATGTCTTCATGCTTCATAAAAAAAAAAAAAACGCCTTATTTTTCATATATTTTACCTTTATTGTAAGCCGCTGTCTCCATTGTCATTTGAACGGCCAGTTGACTTTTTCCTGTTTCTATTATACCACTCCCTCAGAAATACATAATGGGCTCAGATTGGTTAGCTGGCCCAGTGTGTTGTGATTCGTTAACCGCGTACTGCACGTTGTCCAGAAACTTCACGCCCACATTTAATTCACGTTTAATTTATTAATTTATCGACGGCATGTCTACTCTTCCTCTTCTCTAAAGCCGCGCAACATGGCCCCGCCCCCTTTGTTGCATGTTCCCGGGGGGCGGGATTTATGTAAATTTCTGGGTTTGTGACGTAACAAACCCAGAAAGTAGCTCGTAGTCCCTACAAGCCGTTTTTGTAGGCATTAAACTGCCAGAATTATAAAAGAATTAGGGCTGCAACTAACGATTATTTTGATCGATAATCGATAATGAGAATCGTTGTCGATGATTTTCATAATCGATAATAATCGATTTTATCGATTAGTTGTTGCAGCCCTAAAAAGAATATATAAAAACTTTCAGCGCCGTAACTTTACAGATATTGTTTATGCTCAAACAGCAACATTACACTAACTAACGTTAAAAAAGTTAAAATCGCAATCAACCACCCCTTTAAGTAAACAAGTTTTACATAAAGTTGTCAAGAAGTTAACAAATGGGAAGCATTTTTGAAATTTAGGAATGCATTTGTTCATAAAATTAGCATGTTTTAATGGACTTTGACTACATTGATCAGGAAATTGAAAACAATTTTCTGAATTAAGTTTTGAAATGTTTAATATTTAAAATGGAAGGTGATATGAAATAAACTCAGGCACTGTTCATGGGGTGTCTTTACCGCTGTGGATTACAGCTTTCAAGCTTGCAGCATATGAATGTGTTTAAGAAGCTTTAGCTTTGAAACGTGATTCAGAATTGTGGAGAAAACTAGCCCCGAACTAACTAACAACAACAGGCTCTTTGTACTGTATGATTTGTTTTAAAGTTTCTTAGAGCTCATTGTGACTGAAAGTAAATTCATTAGTTTCTGTCAGATTTCTCCTTGACATCAAGGAGAATACCTGATTTTTGGATTATACAGAGAAAAATAAAAAAGCAGTTAATCTCCTGCTGTTTTCTAATAGGGTTAGGTGACCTTCCTGCTGGGCGTTTAGATCAGCTCTCACAAAGCAATGGAGATGCACTGGGAGCACTTGAGTCATGATTGATACTTGACAGACCAATACCAACCGCTACAGGAATCAGAACGGAAAACTGCTTTGTTTTCAGGAGAAACCTCCAATTCAAACAGCTGTTTAAGCATGCTTAAACACGTAGAAGACCCCTTGATCTCCATCTCCAACTGTTTTATTACAGATGCACATGCTCTTCCCAGTCTTGTCGCAAACGATTTTTTGTCCAAAAAATCCTCTATTGTGTGGTGTCTTTATGATTATTTAACTGCTGCTGATCGAGACAGAGCATCCCCAGACTCAAATCGTAAATATCAAACATGTTTGAAATCGTTCCTACAATCAACAAGTGTGTGGTCTCGCAGTCTGGTCGAATAATCTAGTGTACACGTTCAGAGGATTATAAGGCTAAAAATCAGTTGAAACTCTCTTTATGTCTGGTCTCCCATGGTTTTAAAATCGGTTAAGATTAGGTGTGTCCCAGGCCTAATGAGTACAGGGATCAGGTCTCCGCCTGGAGCAGGATGGGAAGCAGACAGCACTAAATGTCCTATGAAAGACGTACTGCTGTTGTACCACATGAAGAAAGACATCCAAAGAGGATACTATTGGAAAACAAAATGGCATGTGGATGCACTACAGGAGCATAATAATGTGGACAAGGGTGACTGATGGTTTGATTCCAGGGCTGCACAATATTGGAAAAAGCTTGCATTGCGATTTTTACTATTTACTATTGTTCAAACCATAAATACAAAAATAAAAATTGTCATTATCATTAAACAAAATATTTAACAAAAGAATAAATATATTGCAGTAATACTGTTGTATTGTAAAATAAAAAAATAAAGTATTTGATTAAAACTTTAATTATAACTGTAAAATTGCAATACTAATATTTGTTAATTTCTTCATTTTCAATCCTTAAACCATTGAGCTTTTATTTTTGTGGATTACCAGCAAATACATAAATGCGCTGCTGGTTTCAGAGTAAAGCGCGGTACTGTGTTCTTGTGCACACTGAGACACCGTATCTCTGAAATCACAGTGGATATATTTTTATATTTAATTTTTTTTTTTTTTACGCAGTAAGCCATATCAGGATATTGATATTTTTTTTAAGATATCATGCAGCCCTAATTCCAGCTAAATTATAATTTACTCACCATCAAACAAATATGACTTTCGTACTTTTATGGAACACTGTAAAAGTGAATGGTGAACACAAATGTAAAGCATTTTCAGGGAATAATGGCTTAAATTTTGATCTATTCCTCACACAAGACTATCGTATGGCTATATTATGAAATATAGCTCAGCATTCATAATAACTACTTTTCATGCCTTTTTGGATGGCATTTGGTTTCCAGTCTGTTTTCATTGTATGGAAAAGAGCAGCATGAATATTCTTCAAAGCATCTCCTTTTGCGATTTACAGATAAAAGAAAGTCATACGGGTTTGGAACGACACAGACATTGGTAAATGATGACATAACTGTCATTTTGGAGTGAGCTATTCCTTTAACTTTGTGGAAAAGCTGTTTTATGTTGACACCTTTTATTACAGTACTCATGTGAAGAGGAATATGTTTATTTGTGTCTGGGGTGTTTTGAATGGCCTGAAAGAGGAAGTGGAACCCCCTCCCTGTACCCTCCACTCTATTCTCCAGAGTGGGAGAGAGAATGATTCAGAGCAGCACTTTATGTGATTATTTATTTATTGATGTGCTGTATGGTTTCCATGGCAGTGGGTATAATAGTGGGCAGAGAAACATTCACTCTCCTAGGCACTCAGCCCTCTTTTACTTGAGTTGATGATTTATTTATAAATATTCGGTGTGCTTTCCATTAAAGCCGGTCACTTAGTCTGTGGCAGGTAGATTTCTGATTGATCTCTGTGAGTTTCTTCAAGCTGTATGGAGCCACCATCACTTATCCTCTTCATCCTTGTCTGTCTTATTACATGGAGCTGATAACAGACTTGCACGTCTTCAGTGATTGTCTAAGAACCCTAGAGTACACACTTTAGTTGTTCTGGTGTGGTATCATCTTGAAGATGAGGCTCATGGTTCTCTCAGACACTTCAGTAGACATCTAAGAGGCCCTTAACTCTGTCCTAAAGGGCCTCTTAATTCCCTCAAGAGAAATGGTGCAGGCACTGAGATTACAATGTTTTAGTGCTAAAAGAAATAGGAAAAACTAAGACATGTACATGTATTACTACGACTGGTTTAATTTATCACCTGAAAACATGACATTCTAAACAGCATTAAGAGATCTATTACCCAAATTGAATTTAGAAACATTATTTTCATTTTTGGCTAAATGTAAACTGAAAATTTTCAGTTTCTGTAAATAAATATACCCACATTTATTTGTGATTGATAGTTGTAGTAACCAGTGCACACTTTCTGTTCTCTCCAATACCCTTCACTTCTACAGACCCTCCTGGTTTGATGGGTCCGATAATCGGGATGTCTCCAGATAAGAAAGCCGAATCTCCTGGAGCGCAGGTTGTGTGTGGAGCTGGGACTCTTCCTGAAGCAGAGAGTGCTTCCAGTCCCATGGCTACCAATCTGGACCAGATTGGTCGGGCTGGAGCATTGAGTGTGGTTGCGGGTGAGTCTGAAGATGATGAACTAACCAACTTGAACTGGCTTCATGAGAACTTGCTGCAGAACTTCACGCTCGGAGACGAGGCGCAACCCATCAACAGCCCGCTGTTTGACATTGAGGGAGGCGGTGGGTCGCCACACAGCAACACCACCTCGTCCACCTCCTCTGTCTCTGCGGGAAGCGAGAGAGATCCTTACAAGTCAAAGCCTCCCTTCTCTTTCTCCTTACTGATATACATGGCTATCGAGCAGTCGCCCAGCAAATCTCTCCCAGTGAAGGACATCTACGGCTGGATCCTCAAACATTTTCCGTATTTCTCTAGTGCCCCTACTGGCTGGAAGAACTCAGTGCGCCACAACCTGTCCCTCAACAAGTGCTTCCGCAAAGTAGAGCGAAGCATAGGAAAGGTAAGAATGCAAGCAAAATGGACATTCTCATGTCCATGACATTCAGCCGGTCATTAACATACAATACATATAATAAATGCAGACAGGGAATGGATGCACTATATGTATCAATTAGGGATGCACAATATATCCATAATTGTAATTGTAATACAGAACCATAATGGTTGTCAGTATTACAATATTATATTCTTTTTTTTTCCCCCTCTGGTCATTATTGCATATTTAATTGTGGACCAGAGGTCTTATTGTCAACTAAATGTAAAAGTATTAAAAATCGTTTTCATTAATTGAAATTAAGTTAAAAAAATTAAATAAATATTAGATGAAAAACTTAAAAAACTTAAAAGGTAGAAATGTTGTCTTGGCAACTGAAATAGAATAAGTTAAAATTGATGTACTAAAATTGCTAAAACTAAAACTGAATTAATGCTAAATAGAAATATTTAAAAAAGCTAATAAAAACAACAAAAGCATATAACAAAATTACTAAAACTAAAATGAAAACAAATTCAAAATATTAATTAATATCATAATTGTATATAAATAATACTAAAATAACACCGTTGTAGACACTGATTTCAGCCTTTTTTTAATGAATATTTTGGTGCTTTTGCTTTTTGTTAAATGTATCAAAAATCTTTAGCAAACGTATATCCATATTTTATAATGTATTTTTATAATGCTCTAATGCCTTCACTAGGGATGCGCCGATCCGATATTCATATCGGGTATCGGCTCCGATAGTGCCATTACAGAACACTGACTGAGCGCTTCAGAGTTTCACTCTCCGTCAAGCTATCTGTGATATTTTTCAGTTCATTTGAATGGATGCGCAGCGCCCCTGTGTTTGTGTATTTGGCGTAACGTAAACTCTAGTGTGAAGGCGCACGACTCGCCGGCGCTGTCTCTCACACGCGCAAAGAGCGAGA